CACACACACACAAATATCATACACACATACGCACATCCAGGCACGCACACACACACACATACACACACACACACACACACACACACACACACACACACACACATAAGACCTTAGAGTTCACCTTTTGTCTTGCTAGAAGTAGAAGTCTTTTAGAGAACGTGCAGGGTCTGGGTCCCTCAGTCCCCGAATCTCGATTAGATGTTTCGAGACCTTATTCCATCCGTGGTATACATCTAGCATCTGCGTTTGTCGATTGCGGCCCCGATTTTTGCATTTTTCACAAAGAAAAAGCTACTTCATAACATAATAGATGTATTGATAATTTTAAGATGTCCGTGAGTGGCTATTTTCATGCGAAGAATATAAGTACATTACGTAATATTTATATTATTGTTGTTTGTCTTTTATTTTCCCCTCTTTGTTGGTGTGTTATTTTTTTTTTATTGTTCTTATGTGTTGTTGTTCTATTTTTTTGTGTTTATATAGCGTAATGTCATTTAGTTTTACGCTGTTCCTACATTTTTTATGTGTTAGAATATGTTAGAACGAGTCTCCACCAAAATCGAATACTAACACTGGCAGGCCCCTTGTGCGATTCCATAATTTACATGTAATATCCAGTACTTTTTCTTGAATTACACACGTTTAGGGTTAAAACGGTCTATCTTCGGACAGGTTGACACACTCTCTTATTTGTTAATTTTTGTGGTTGTTTATATTCTCTTCTAATTTCGATTTCATTTTGTTTTGAAACCTTTATTTTTCACGTTTTTACACTCTGTGTGGCTACAAATGATATCCTGGATGCTTAAAACAGAGCACAAGACATTCTGGTGCTTTAGATTAAGTTACGTCTATCACCATAGTGTAGGCCTACACGTCGTCACAGAGAGCTGAAATCTTGAAAATTAATGGTAACTTTAATGGCAACTTTTGCCATTTTTTTGTGGCAACTTTTGAACAACAACAAAAATGGCAACAAACGCAGATGCTAGATACATGTAGAATGATCTGTGTACTTTGGGCAAGCCGAGATGACTTTTTGGCGACAATAGAACAAATAAAATTTACCTGTCCTTGCGTGTCTGCCGCGTCAGACTTGTCTTCACAGAGTCGATAAATAATGTATCGTCTATATCGAGTACCAGATCTGTGACAGAACATCGATGAACACCGGGATGCTTTCATAAAAACCTATTAGGCCTACATTAGGCCTATATAGATTCTAATCCTGGTCTTTCCCCATCACCTATCTCTTACTGTTTAGACTCTCCAAGTGGGCGGTAGGCGGGTGCATTTTGCTCCTTCTTTCCTATCAAACATCTGATCTCTATCGTCCTTATCTCCCCTTCTTCTTCTTTTTTATTTTTGTTACTCTCTTGTAACACCTCTAATCTTCTGGCGCTCATATGGCCTTATGCAGTTTGCGAGCGCCGTAAAACCTCTACTAAAAAAAAAAGAAGACTCTCAAACGTCTACACCGACCCCGTTTGCCTTTAATTCTGCCAGTGAGAGCTGAGAGTTTTTTTGCATATTACTGTAAACTCTCTGCTGAGAGCTACATACTACATATTGTATTATGCCCTT